AAAATAGATTATTTTTAGGAATTGTATTTATTTACTTACCTTATACAATTCCATTGAGTTAGATAGTTTATTTCTTCACCTCGACATCTTCATCTTGCAGCTGTTCGTCGTATTGTTCGCTATCTTCGTGGATCACCTACTCGTGGGTTGTTCTTTCCTAAAGGGTCTTCTCTTCATCTTTTGGCCTACAATGATGCTAATTGGGTTGGAAGTCCGGATATGCGTCATTCTACTACGGAGTGGTGTATGTTTTTGGGTGATGTATTGATTTCTTGGAAATGTAAGAAACAAGATCGTGTTTCTAAATCATCTACTGAGGCTAAGTATCGTGCGATGTCTATAGCTTGTTCTGAGATTATTTGGTCACGTGGCCTTCTGGAGGAACTTGGGTTTCCTCAGACTAATCCTATACTTCATGCGGATAACACTAGTGCTATACAGATTACAAGCAATCCCGTATTTCATGAACGCACCAAGCACATTGAGGTTGATTGTCACTTTATTCGTGACACTTCGATGGATTGGGTGATATCTCTTCCCTACATTTCTTTTGATCTCCAAGTGGCAGATATGTTCACCAAAGCACTGACTAGACTGCGGCATCAATTCCTTATTGGCAAATTGTTGCTGGTTGACCTCCCAGCATCAATTTGAGGGGGCGATGTTACCATAAATAGAGTTGGATATATTTGAAAAATAGATTATTTTTAGGAATTGTATTTATTTAGTTACCTGATATCAGTTGATATAGGAAACCACTTCAAGATATAGGCAATGTAAACCGTGACACGCTGATACGAAATCGTCGACCCCCACCCCAGGGGCGTTCTACCTCTACAAAAGACCGTCGACCCCCTTGGGATGCTCTACCTCTACAAGAGACCGTCGACCCTCCGGGGTGCTCTATCTCTACGTGAGACCATCGACCCTCCAGGGTGCTCTACCACTATGAGAAACCTTCGACCCCCCCTAGGGGCGCTCTATCTCTGTGCAAGACCAACGACAGGCATGAGATTACTTATAAGGTCATCTCAACACTTAGCCTTAAAATCTCTGATCAATTAATAAGGTTACACGGCGGTCACCACGAGCACAACCCCCCGGGGAAGTTAAAACTCCCCACTTCGAACGTGGGGATAATGGGAAGGCCAACGTGGGACACTTGGTACCACAACCACCCGGCTCCCGCTCAGCTTCCAACGTCAATAAATACCTCCTAAGGGCAATAGGTATGAGTTTGATTGCACATTTTTTAGCCTTCTGAATTCCAAAATTATTTTCTCCTAATGCGCCTACTGATTTTCACACCGGAGGTAAAACGGGGGAGAAAGTCCCGCTCTCACTTTTCAGGTTACACTCGCCCATCAAAGCAACAGAAACGCCTAAAGGCCGCTAGGCAGATCAGGAGGCGTTACTCCACCACCATTTCATTACCTTATACATTCAATGATTGTACATATGTATATACACAATGGAGAATACAATGGAAGGCAAGTTTTTACAGAAACTATCTTGATTGTTCGGTTCTTTCGTCAAGGAGATGGAAGGTAAACTAGAAAATATCAAATTAGAAAGGATGGTTCCATGACGAAATCAAGAATCAGGCAGAGAGAGAATGCACAACCAGAAATACATAGGGAGGAGAGAGCTAACTTATTTTCTTTACTCAGTTCATTTATAGCTAAAAGAGAAGTCGCCAGATAGATTGTGGAATGTGTAAAAGAAATCACAT